AGGCCAAACTTTTCTCGAATAATCATCAATTATAGTCAGCATGTAACTAGCACCACCTAGTGACTTTCTGCGAGATGGTCCCCATAAATCAGAATGCACATAATCAAGAATACCTTCAGTTGTATGAGTCGAAGTGTTGAACTTCACCCTCTTGTGTTTGTCGAAGATACAATGCTCACAAAATTTCAATTTACCAGGTTCATATCCATCAAGAAGAGCTCTCTTATTTAACTATGCCAAACCAAGTTCACTCATATGTCCAAGACGCATATGCCAAAGATTAGCAGCATCACAATCAGAATTCTTTGAAATAACTGGAGTAGCGTTACCTGAAACGGTAGAACCTCGAAGGTAATAAAGACCATTGGTCGAACTTAAGTCACCTTTCATCACAACAAGGGAACCTTTGGTGACCTTCAAAACACTATCTCCACCTAAATATTTGTACCCCTTTGCATCAAGGGCACTCATAGAAATAAGATTTCTCTTCATCTTCGGAATATACCGAACATCTGTCAAAGTTCTGATTATGCCATCAAACATCTTGATTCGAATAGAACCTATGCCTTCAATCTTGCATGGTGAATTATCAAAACCCAAAACGAAACCAGCAGAAGTAGTGGAATCAAAAGTATTAAACCAATCTCTATGTGGACACATATGAAAAGTGCATGCAGTGTCAAGTACCCACTCATCATTGGTCTCAACACATCCAGCAATAACGACAAGAGCATCATCGGAACTATCATCACGAGCAACGTTAGCAGAATTTTCACCTTGTTTGTTACCTTTCCTATTTTCCTTGTTCTGCAACTTGAAACACTCAGAGATGTCATGCCCGTCTCTCTTGCAATACATGCAATATTTCTTGTCTCTGGATTGCGACCGGCCCCTGTAGCCGTTCTTACTTTTGCCTCTGTTTCCATTATTGGAGTTCTTTTCCTTTGCCCTGCCACGGACAGATAATCCCTCGGCTTGGGATGAACTCGAACGATTATGAGGCACCATTAATTTCATCTTCTTCTTAGAGTTCAAAGCTTCATAAACTCCCTCGGGTAACCTGTGCAGGAATAAATTTTGCTTCAGATGCATCTTGCTGGTGAGGTCTCTAGTCCAACACGATATAGTTTGGATCACAATTTAACAAGCCCAATCCCTAGTATTTCATCAACACCACAACCAAGCTAGAGCATGAACATGAAATCACCAATGAACCAAATCATGGAAAATATGAACTTCGGCTCGATGGCCAACACACAACAGCCATAGCTCCTAGAGCATGGTAGAGAGGCGAAATAGAGGAGGACGGAGATACCAGGTACTCACCTAAGTAGTTAGAGCCGAAGAGGCGGTCCTGGGGAGCCTAGATCATCACACCGTGTACCGACTGCTGGATGATATTGATGTCAAGCCACTTCAGCTTGATAACCAATTCCCTTCAGTGTGTGAGTTCCCTCTGCATTAATATTCAAACAACAATCAGGTCTCTCTAATGGACACAACACAAATTGATGGCATAACAATATTTGAGATAAATCGATATTCAAACAACAGATTCAGGCATGAGACGCCAGAGGGACAAGGATGGGTCACTGCTATTTACCTATCTACTACATCACGACCACTCTCCCGGAAACCCCTTGCGCGCGTGGAGAACAAGCGCTAGTTATCTCTTCGCCTAGACTACAATCCTCTCAGCAACCTGCATCACCAACACACCAGTTTGGAGCTTGCTTGTCGATGGCGACGGCGACGGCGACACGGTAGTGTCGGCTGCGACGGCCATTCGTGTACTGTACTCCTAGCTGAGTTGCATGCATGCGTTCGAAGATGTGTCCGTCCGTGTTTCAATCTCAATCAGAAAGAAAAGGACGAAAGAAAAGGATGAAGTGATCGACCGCCGCCGGCATGTCCGCACGGGGGCGCCGTGCGTACGAATTCCTTCCCTTCCCGGGAAGCCGCTGAAGAAAGAAAAAAGAAAAAGAAATGCATGCCTGTCCTGTCCTGTCCTGTCCCCAGCTTGAGCACGCGCGCGTTTCCTTTCTTTCCTTTGTTCATTTGATTCCACGCGTTTCTTCTTCTATATATGAAAGTAAAAGTATGATGACGACGTGAGCGAGCGAGCGCTACGAGGTTTGGTCTCGCGCGGGAGGCAGGATCGATCGAGCGGCACTCTCTTTCTATTCATTCATCCAGGCATGCATATGCATGGAACAAGGACACCTGCTCACAAGCATCGCAACGGTTTATAAGTATTGTATCTGGCACAAACAAACTTGTGCAACTATATATAGCACAGCACAACCACTCATTCCCCAAGCGCAAAAGCAGCTGCATCAAAGGTATCGGACAGACCAGTGCCGGTCTTGAAGGTGACCTTACCAGGGGCCGTCACGCTCTCAACAACAGACACCTCCACCACGCTGAGCCACAGGAACAGCTCCTTGGTCTTCACGCCGGTGATCTTCCTCAGCTTCCCCGGGTCGACGAAGGCCGTCACCTCCCCGGCGTATGACACGGTCTGCTTCACCTTCTTGAAGGTGTGCTCCGTCTTCTTCCTCTGCACCAGCCACATGAAGCCGGCCACGCGGTTGTACCCGAACTCCTCCATATCCTCCAGGGGCAGCAGGCCCGTCGGGAGGCCCAGCTCCGCCAGCACCTCCACCGACTTCTTCCTGCACACGGCGTCGTCGCCGCGGAATACCTCCGCGCCAACACGGTGGATCTCGACGGTTTTGGATGCCATGTCAGGCGAGGCTATATATCTCCTGCAATGTGGTGTTGATGATCTTGCGGGATGGGAGAGCTGGCTAACCGTGAATGATGGAGTCTGATATGGCAATTGCCAAGCCAAGGTATATATAGATAGTTATGTAGTAGTAGATGTGAGAAAGCTTCAATATTGATCACCGTGTATCAGAGTAAGTATTTTCTGTGTGTCAGCTTTGAGAGCTACGGGTTGCTAATTTCTAGAGTGGGATGTCAATACGTTTGGACCTACGTACTTTTCTGTCTTTTGATTGAATTCGTCAACAGATGTGAGCTTTATTTGAGCACTTAAGTGGCGAAGAACGAAGATACGGTGATACTTACACAGCCTTCTCTGACTAAGTCCAGAAAGGGTCGCGACGGCATAGCACAGCCCGCCAGCCGCTGAATTGAATGGGTATGCAATGTAGCACAATTGAAAATGTATGCTGGATTCATCGCAGAAAATAGGGGAATTTACACTATATCTCTATTTGGAACATCATTGTTGGCTCAATTATGTCGTCTTTACTTTTACTTTTGATGTTTCAACTTGTCCTGCACGGTCAGTTTGGTGTCTAAAGTTGTAAAATACATAAAACTGTTGCTCGAACTTGTCCGGTCATGCAAATACAATGCCTCTTTCCGTATCCGAATATACGTCCAGCCCGCGTGGCATGCTAGCGTGGTGGTGACCCACTTGTAAGTGGCTGAGAGGGGGAAAGTGCTGCGTACTCTGTGCTTGAGTTTTTTTTTTACTGGAAAATCCTTATATTTATTTAATCACATAGGAAAGACCTCAAATACGAGAAATAACATGGAAAAAATCATCATGGATGGATTTAAAACCTGGCACCTCCTGGTCTACCACGGCTTGATCTTGTCCACTCAGCCAAAATATGCATTGCGTTCACCTCTTAGCTAGAAAACTATGTAAACACTTTTCACGTATTGCTCTATAATTTTCCTAATGCATTATATATCTTTTTTTTTCAAGTTCCTGTTAATTTTCATGGGACGTAAATTTATCGCTCTATAATTTTCCTAATGCGTTATATATCTTTTTTTTCAAGTTCCTGTTAATTTTCATGGGACGTAAATTTTCCCATATAAAAAATACAAAATGCAATTATTTTTTATTTTAAATATTTTCCTATTTTCATTATTGTGTACTTTTAAGAGGTAGACATGAACTTTTTCAAAATTTTATGGGGATTGAAAGAGGTCAACCTATATTAGAAATTGTTGTATAAATTTATGTATGATCAGTCGAGACCACACGCACACACTATATTCTTTATATTCATTGTATTTCTAAAATACCTAATTATTAATAAATTGACAACGTTGTATTTTGTAACCTATTCAACCTGCATTAAAAAGTATTGTGTTGAGATTTTTAATACATTTATTCAAAATGGTACAGAATAATTTTTTAGTCCACATTGATTTTTTTAAATACACATTGCCAATTTGTTTAATTCAATACAAACATTTTTAAAATACATGTTATAATTTGTTAATACACGTGAAACATTTTCTTTATGTTTATGGAAGTTGTAATTTTTTCTTGCATTTCTAGTTTTCAATGGTAAAAATAATATGAAAAATAGAAATAGCAAAAAGGAAAAAAGGAAAATAAAACTTAAAAGTTTGAGGTTTTCCTGCATGACTAAATAAAATATGAGGGGGGGTTTTGTACAAAAAGTTCCTCACGCTCGAGCCACCCAGCGCCTTCCCTGCTCTTAGCCACGGACAGGTGTCCCACCGCCACGTGGGCTGGACGTACGTCTGGATACGGATGGAGGCACCGTATTTGCATGCCTGAACAAGTTCGAGCACTAGTTTCATGCATTTTACAACTTTGGGCACCAAGGTGAGCAAGGATGACAAGTTGAGGCAACATCCAGTTCGTTAGTTATGTATCACCGATCCTTCTTTCCATTTGGCTCAAATATTTAAACTGGTTTTGTTTAAAAATAATAATGTTTAAACTGGTTTACCAAAAATCGGATAAAAACTTGTTTTCTACCTACTCAACGGTAAGATTTGCTACCAAAACAAGCACGTTGGGCTGACCACTACTCCATCCGTTCCGAATTACTTGTCTTAGATTTATCTAGATACGGATGTATCTAGCACTAAATTACTTGTCTTAGACAAATTCAAGACAAGTAATTCGAAACGGAGGGAGTACTAGTTTGGGAATATAAGCAGTTTCCCCTTGCCATTACCTACCTTAATTGCAGTCAATGTTGAGTAGTGGTTGAATAGCAAAATACGGCCGTGGCACCTAGCTAGCTGTACACTCGCAAGGCAGGCATGGAGGCCACATGGGCATGAGATGAATGTATCACACGCCGACGCCGGACGCACAAGAAATGGGAGAAGCGCATGGCCCATATTGCAGCAGCGAAGAGAGCAGAGGAGGCTGAAGCAGAACATGGCCAAAGACGCTCCACGCACGCGCAGAAGCCGGTTGGACCCGTCTGTAAGTGTGCGTGCGTGCTTGATTTTAAAGAGCTGTTGTGCTGGGGATAGGCGTGCTATCCCTCTTCTTCCTCCTTGCTTCCTCTACTTGATCTTGAGCTCTGTGTTGGATCATTCTAATCCGAGTAATCCACCATGGATGTGTGAGATCATCCCGCTTCCCGCAATCGTAGTCTGGGCTAGCTTGCTTGTTACAATGAAGGGTGTTGTTGCTGGCCTTGTCATGGTGCTCAGTGCTCTTGCCGGGTTCGGGCCTGGCAAGACGGCGAGAGCTGTGCCGGCGGTCTACGTGCTCGGGGACTCGTCACTGGACGTGGGCAACAACAACTACTTACCAGGAGAAAGTGTCCCAAGGGCCAACAAGCCCTTCCATGGCGTCGACTTCCCTGGACCCGGAGGACCTAAGCCCACCGGAAGGTTCAGCAATGGCTACAATGTGGCCGACTTCATTGGTACGTCGATCGATCCATCATATCAATTGTTGGTAGAAGTCTAGAAGATGATGATATATTGATTCAGTAATGTTACTGTTAGAATAAATTCGAGGCGCTTCGTCGATCTATCAAGGACTAAGCAATCACACAATCACGACAGCAAGATTCGTTAACGAGGTTCACCGATATGGCTACATCTTCGGGGCATGACTACGGGCGCTCCTCCTCATGACACCGTCACAATACCGCACCCCGGCCGCCCGGGTGCCGCCACACGCCGTCGGCTCCCCCGCGTGCCCGTGCTATTATGTTGGCATGGGTTACATCGTATGTCTACCCCCGATATATATGAGAGGCCTAGGATACAGGTGTCCTATTAGGACACAACTCTTACCCCGTCTACACACAGTTCAAAACCAAGTCCAATTGTAACCTACCTTGTACAATAATATTCGACACAATTCTAACAAACTCCACCTTGGCGAATATTCTCCACCACCTTGGATTCATCCATGCGTCGAACCTTCATGTACATTGGACTTGAGATACGCCATGAGCACCGCTGCTACTCTCAGACTCCATGTGACTCCACCTGTAACTGTAGTCCCTTCTTGTCTTCGTCACAGTCAACACTCGAGCAAAAATTAAGTTCCTCGTTACTCTACTTTGTGCTTCCAACTTCCGGAGTATCCGTTCAACGACATCACACACCGACCACTGTCTGCGTGAAAAATGAACAACTCATATATTGAACGCCACATATAAGAGTTACCTGAACTCAACGTCACTGCTCTTTCTTGACTGCTTGTCTGAAACTTGAAGGAATTTTACCGTCGCCCTGTGTCACTTTGAGTCAAATTCACAATTGTCTCACCCTTTTCCCTGGATAGTCTCTGACATGTCCCACAGCTATAGCACTCCACCTCCTTCTGTACTTGTCACCCGCACTTTGCCATGTGCACCGAACACCACAGAATATACGACCATGTACTCTTTTTGTTTTTGACAATTTCAGACTTTCCGTCACTTTCTCAGATTCTCCATGGTCAACTTATGTCCATCAACCGGCACCGATAAACCCAGTCACCAACTTGAATCCGGTATTCGTCAACACTGCCTCAGCACCCCCTGCTCAATTTGTCTGACCACATGTCTGACCACCAATGCCTTGGCCTGTCGCTGTGTCCCATGCTTACCGCACGCCTCGCCGCTATCACCGCGTCGAGCCTCTGCTGTCCTGGTCGAGTCTCCCGGGTAGCTAGCCCACACTGCCTCAACCCCCACTGCAGAGAACCACCGATCATCACCGACCGATGCCGAGTATCACGTCTCCATCAAACCATTGGTACCAAGTCCGATCCACGTGTCTCTCGCTATCCCGCTGAAATAGGCTTCGATTCTCCGATATCTTACACTGTAGCCCCTCCATCAGCACAGAGTGAAGTCTTCCGTCAAACTCCAGCTCCACCTTCAACATGACTCCATGTAGCTGCGCCATGCTACCCCGCGCCCGGTTGACTTCAATCTCTCATGTGTACACTGTCTTGAATCAACCCCGCGCCATAGTCTTGTCGAAGCCGCACAAGCCCTCAGGCCTGCACCACGTGTTTCCACGCACCAGAAGTCGGCCATCATCAGCATCACGCTCCTATGTCGTCGTCGCTGAAATCACCACCGTCTTCTGCTTTGACCAACATCCACGTCGATCCGCCAGACTGTCTAGTCCGACCCAGCCGAAATTATCCGACTGCAACCATGCTCCACCCCGCGTCGTGTCCGCCCGCACATCTGTGCATTGCCTTGACGCCCTATGTATGCATGATCCTGCCACGACACACTCCAGACTCCTCCGAGCCTTATACGCTTGTCGCCGTCTTCGGTTCCCTTTTGACTTAGCTGAACAACATCACTACTGCCATGCCGTCTCCAATCCATGTACAAAGCAAAGAATCCCAAAAAGTAGTCCCTCATAGCCTTGTGCCCGTGTAACAACTAGCTCAAACTCTCAGCTCAACAGTAAACAATACACGTGCTTGACCACCTTTGCAATCTTCCTTGTTCTTTCCTTTCTCATGATCTAAACTCGATATGGGCAGCTATTTTCATGTTCTGACACACTGCAAAGCCTCCCGGAACCAGACTTTTTCCTTAAACAAATCTCTTCACGTAGCTTCACGTTCCAGTGTTCTCACGTACCTCCAACCTGGACTGAAACTAGCCCTGTAGCTCTCCACGGATTCATGTGTGCTCCGCTGCGCATCGATCCATTGCCCGCCGCCTAGCGCACCACGTCCAGACTCGGCGTTCCGCTCAGCCGAACAGCTAGGATAGTGGGACTGGCTACTGGCACTGGTGGAAAAATAGGCTTCCGTCCAGCCCCATAAGTCGCGAAGCTGTAGGAACCGCGACTAATGGGACCTTTAGTCGTGGTTCTGGAGGTGAACCGCGACCAAAGGCCTGGGCCCAGGGCGCTCGGTGGCCAGCTGGCGCACGTGAGGGCCTTTAGTCGCGGTTGGCCAGGACAACCGCGACTAAAGGCCTTCGGGCACCTTTAGTCACGGTTTGCTAAGCCAACCGCAACTAAAGCCCCTCCCCTATATATACCCATCCAGCAGCCAACACTTAGCCATTTGGAGCCATTCTCTTCACAAGTGGGTGTAGGTTTGTATTTTTAGAATTTTGAATTGAATTAGTTTTATTTTTCTGAATTTTTTGATATATTATTTGTATTTTTAACATTTTGAATTGAATTAGTTTTATTTTTCTTAATTTTTTGATATATTATTTGTATTTTTAGAATTTTGAATTGAATTAGTTTTTTTTCCTGAATTTTTTGATATAATATTTGTGTTTTTAACATATTGAATTGAATTAGTTATATTTTTCTGAATTTTTTGATATATTATTTGTATTTTTAAGATTTTCAAAAAGAAAAAGTATTTGGAAAATACCTTTAGTCGCGGTTGGCCTGCCCAACCGCGACTAAAGGTGGTTGCGCGCGGGAACGAGAAACCCGCCAAAAAAGTCCTTTAGTCGCGGGTCGCCTCCCCAACCGCGACTAAAGGTTACCCTTTAGTCGCGGGTCGCCTCCCCAACCGCGAC